CCCAAAGAGTGGGGGGTTAGGCCATTTTGGCCCAGATTTGGCCTCTTAAAGAGGGGGGGCCTTAACCCCCAAAAATTCCCCAGCCAGCATGGGGAATTCTGGGAGTTGAAGTCCACTCATCTTAAAGTGGCCAGGTCTGGACAACACTGGGTTAGGCTAAACTTTGGTTAAACTGGTTCCAAGCTCCTCTCAAGCGCTTCTGAAGCAGATCTCCTTAACTGCATCCCATCTTGGCTTCAACCCCACTGGCCAAAAACCAAAGCCTGCCTTCACACATGTTGCCAAGCCATAAGTTGGCTTGCGTACTTTGGATTTAGTGTGTTACGCTTCTCCACCGTAACAAATAAATCATGGTTTAGCATACTATGGACACCAGGTCCCAAACCTGCAACAGCATTTTCTCACATCTACTGCATGTTGAATCTTGCTTCTTTCTTCCATTCTAGACCACTATCCCCATTGGAGAGACCTTAATCCGTTTATCGCTATTTGTAGGACAAATTGTTATCATTTCCTGCTTTATGAATATATTTTAAAAAAGACCGTTTCCACCAGGGAGGAATGCTGTCGGCTCCTAGAGCACATACCAGCCTCTTTTCTGTAGAAATTAATTTTTCATCCAAACAATTGAATGCTTGTACAGAAACGTGGCCCAAAGCTGGCAAAGCATAGCTAACAAAGGGTATTAAGTTCATACTGAGACAGATCAACAATTTCACATTCCTTGCGGGCAGAGCATTTGAAATAATCTGCATACCTTCTCATCCAAGCAAAACAATGCAGCCTGAGTGATCTAAACAGACTCGACCTAACCACAGATACTTCAGATGGCCCCCAAACCAAAACAGTTTTAAAAAGGAGAGAAAGCAACTGACAACTAAATCCATGACAGCATGAATGAGTGTTTCTTCTGAAGCTCACCCACACTCTACGTTAGCATCTCTATCTATATGACCCTCAATAACCAACTAATTCGGGGATCCAGAAATGGGAATAAAACCAAACGTTGCGTTTCCCGCTGTGTCCAAAGAGGACTTTAAATAAATAAATAGAAGAACAGATCTCCAGGGATTGCCTGCCCTTTCCCCAAATTTAATTATCGTAGGTTCCTCCTTTTCAATAACTATGAGCTGCACGGCCAGTGGGATTAGATCAGATTAGACCATTAAACATAATATCTTCATTTAGCTTTTGGGAATGACCTAAAATGGTCTTCCCCGACATGGAGCCATGCAATGTGTTGGGATTGCAGCTTGAGTTCCTGCCAACATGATCAAAGGGAGTTGCAGCTCTTTTGCAGGGGTACTAAAAAGAAGGTTGCAGAAGAAGACACAGAGGAGGAGGAGGAGGAGGTCTACAAACAGCATTCATTGAATATTCTTCAGATTTTTCGAGAGGGCATAGAGAGATAATTAAAAAGACTCCTCTGTTCGTATAATTTATGTAGCACTTTAAAACATTTAGAGGATTTTCCTTATCACATTTAGCTTCAGATAAACCCAGCTGTTAAAAAAAAAGTTTGATGTACATTAATTATGGAAAACATAAAGGACTCCTTTACAGCATGCAAGACATAATTAACCTTGCTTTACAAACCTTCCATGTTCGTTATCCTAGCTTCGTTCAGCTTTAGGTAGCTTGAAAGATTTGATGTCCCAAATGCAATGACTGTAGTTTGGTTACAAGCTTAGCATTCCGCTACACCAGCGTTCCTCAACCTTAGCCACTTTAAGATCTGTGGACTTCAACTCCCAGAATTCCCCAGCCAGCATGGAGTTGAAGTCCACAGATCTTAAAGTGGCTAAGGTTGAGGAACGCTGTGCTATGCCACCAAGGCTTTTGCTTTAACTTGCCAAAGTGGGCCAGCAGCTTCTTGGTATGCCAGTCTGAATCCACAGCCAAGACCAAGCCACAAGATTTGATTGTGGAGTTAAATTAGCATAAGATGGGCCATTTACTACCAGCTGCTCTGTGGGAAGGATCTGTAAAGGGAGAGGGAGGAAAACAGGTCAACCATCGTGCAGACGCCTTTTCCTTCTTCCCTCCTGCTCAACAGGGCCACTTTCACAAGCCGTGCTGCGGGAAGGTTCTTCAAAACTAGGGTGCTTCTAAATACTAGTCTGAAGTTTTTATGACTGTTCATCTTATTTGGAAATGGCTTGGGAAGATTTTTCTCCTGGGAGGTGGAACACCCATAATTCTAACAGCCACAAGAGCCAATTAAAGCCACATTCAACCAACAGTTTACAAAGCCAGACAGCCGAGTACAAGTTTGGAAATTAGCCCAAGGCCCGCTTTCAATGGTGGGCAATGCCATTATGAAAATGAGCAGGGCCAAAGCCAATGCAAAAGGAGGAAACCCATGGAGGTTCTCTGATCTACTGCCATGCAACCCGTATGCCACAGCATTTTGCTTAATTAATATGAACTAGACTATGCCAACACGCTGTTGCTCTACATGCAAGTTCTCTTTTACAGAGAGGGCTCCAAGGCGAGATTCTCTGCTTATCCAGAGCGATGGTATGAGTCGACGCCAGATCTGACGTGATCTGCCCTTCATGCAAAGGATTATCCTAGCTTCCCAAATCTGCTGCCACAATTATTTGATAGCAAGCACTAGAAGCTATAGGCCAGTGTTCCCCAATGATCAAACAGGTTAGAGGGGATGGAAGTGGTGTTCTGGCACATTTAGAGAACATACACTTGGAGATGGCTTTTATGGGCGGCTGTCGCAGCAATGAAATTCTCCAATATGCTATTAGTATGGACGGAAAAACTTTAGGGCTGAAATTTGGGGAGTGCATGGTATAATACGATTATTTTAAATAGGTCTCTGCGACACTTTGGAAAAAAATTCAGGAAAGGCGTTTCAATGGGCAGATCTAGCCCCTGCCTGCAACTCTTTAAAGCAGCTATGTCTTTTCTCAGACTCATGTAGCTGCTCTTCTGCAGTGAACATGCAATCTTGGGAAAAGATGAGGTTGTTTGAAGAGTTGCAGGCAGGCGATATCTTCGTATTTCAAAGCACTTTTGGAGAATTAATCTAAAGCAGTGTTTCTCAACTTCAGAACTTTAAGAGGTGTGGGCTTCAACTCCCAGAATTCCCCAACCAGTCATCAGATGATCTGTATGATTTCTGCCCAACTGAACATATGGACTTTGTAGCTTGTAGACCATGGCTGATAGAATACTGCAAAGTGGGGACCCAGCCCATCATGGCTTATTCAATAAGCAATGGTTAGACACATCATGACTCAGTGCTCTGTATGGAACCCAACCCAGCCAAAAGGGGGAAACTCAGTGTGGTGCATGCAGGCTACAGGGAAAAACACACCTCTAATAAAAGAAGAAAAAAACAGGACAATGGTAGGCAAGAAATCCTTACACCTAGCTTACTCCAGCTTTCTGAGCCCACTGCTATTTATCCACCTTTGAAGTCACTTATGAAGCTATTGGGTAAAGACACTGCTTTAACTATGAGTCACTGTTTGGGTCACAAATATAACAAAGTTGATATGATGGAGAGAGATAGAGAAAGAAGTGCTTGTCCTTCAAAATAGCAGTGATTTGGTTTAGGCTCTCAGTAGAGTTTGCTGATGGCTTTTGTCTGCTAATCTAAAAGCTGGACAGTGCAAGCGTTCGAGAAGGTGAGAGCCATGTTTTCTTCTGCTCTTTGCCTCAACCCAGTGACCTCTCACTCCATGGATTCCTACTTCTCACAGGTCTCCACTTAACCCACCATTCGGACTTGGGCCAAACACCAGCTGGTTCAAACTCCATCAAAACATATGCAGAACCTCAACCCTCTGCCCCTATCAACCCTTTCATTGCTCAGTGTGTGGTTTTTTAAAGATTTTTTATCCCACCTTTATTATTTTTTATAAATAACTCAAGGCGGCAAACATACCTAATACTCCTCCTTCCTCCTGTTTTCCCCACAACCACAACCCTGTGAGGTGGGTTGGGCTGAGAGAAAGGACTGGGCCAAAGCCACTCAGCCAGCTTTCATACACCATCTCCTGGTTTCTAGCCTGGTGCCTTCACCACTAGACCAAACTGACTCTCCTTTTGCCTAACACAATTTTGCATAACACAAATCTCTAAAGATGTATTAGTAGAAGAGGAGTCCCCCCCCCCCTCAATTTCTTCCCCTTCTTTCTTTATCAGCAAATGATGCCTGATCAGATCTGCCTTTCAGGAACACATCAGCCTTGTTTGGATCTGGAGTGTAGGCACTGGAGAAGAAAACCTGCACGTGGAACATTTCCAGCAGCTGCCAGAACAATCAGCCCCTGCCCTTCGATTCGAGTTGTAAGTCATATGGAACACGGCAGCTTTCAAAACTGTTAATGATAGACGTCTTCTAAAAATTATGACTGTAGATCTTGTCACTTCCTGCAGTCTAATTCACATCCTGCTTTGCATAACTTCTACAAAAAATAGAAGAAAAGAGAATAGCTCAGCCGGCCGTTGCAGCTAGAGAAGCCTCCAAGCTATGTAAGGAGAGATGCCTCCATCGGAGTAGATTCTCCTCCTCCTAAGTCTAGATGAAATTCCAACCCACGTGAAGGTGTTCATCAAGCCAGCCTGACTTAGCAGAAATGCAAAAAAATAAACGTGGGGGGCATTTCACGATTTGCAGTTAAAGGGAAGAGGAGAA